TTACTCTCATCTCAATCTCAATCTCCCCTCACACACTCTTCACCCCCCTTTTTACATCAGCTCCTCCCCTTCAGTTCTACCCTCCATCACACCATTGGCTGATAATTCACTGCCCAGCTGTGACAGACAGGTGAGGTTATGGCTGCCCGTTACAGGCGGTATATAATTCTAATAAAAATAAATAAATAAATTTGCAGTCACATGGCACAAGACCACTAGTAGCAATTCATTTTATCAGCCGGCAGTGTAACTGCAGTTCAATTCCCCCTTGCCAGGAGACTTCTGCTTTTTATTGTTCCAGTGGTGTTTTGATATATTCCTTAGCAGTATGGCATATGTGTATGATCCTATCATTGTTTTTTTGAAGCAAATTCACTGGGGGAAAGCAGCCACCATTACTGCTGTGTAGCTGCCCTTCTATAATTTGTTTTTTTCCTGCAGCCAGAGTGTCGATACCTTGGTAAACTTTGGTCAGCGTCTTTAAAGGCATTGATAGGTGTTGCCTCACTCCACTGACTGTCTGGCAAGTACAACAGGCCTGGGTGGGGGCGATGGGTCTAGTGAGTGCAATGCGTTGCTTATGAGGTGCCGAGGCAGCAGAGGAAAATCGACACATCAGGAAACAGGACCCGACATATTGATGGGCCTTTCAAAAAACAATTTTGAAAAAAAAATTAAAGTTAAGGGGCAAGTGTTCCATAAAACAAGAGGGAAAATAAATCAATACTAGATTGTAGCCAGCCATAACTATTCACATTGAAGAAAATGAAGTGGTAATGTTAAAATACATTGGGATGATCATCCAGGTATATATACACCACGTGACTGTGATGCATTGCAACATAGGTATGTAAAGTATCGATAAAAGTGGGGAAAATTTTTCCCTGGTCTGACCATGGCCAGAAACTTCCATTCATGTCACCTGGTGACTTACCTAACTCAACATATTAAGTCCTATTGATTCAAAGGGTCTGCTGTAGGTAGGGCTATCAGTGGGATTTAGTTTCAGGCAGCAAAAGATTCACAGTGCAATCTTGTATATGTCTACTGAGAAATAAGTCCCTTTGATTTCAATACAACTTACCTCCAGGTAAGTGTGTGTATTATGTATTTTATAGGATTCCACCCCAAAAGACATTGGATTTTCTACTGGAAACACTTAAGCATTGCTCTACTGTTCTTCATTATTCCTTCCATTAAACTTAATTATACCAAGCACAGCCTACTGTTTTAATTTGTCCCTGCTCATAGCCTAGTGCCTTCCTTCCTTTATGCATGCCTGCTCTTCATTTTTTGTACTGTCAGCAGATACTGATAATATTGAACATGTTGTTCCTTGCATCTAATTGATACAATTAGTAGAGGCCCCAAACACTGACCTTAGTGAGATCCCTCTCAAAATTTGTCCTTATCGGAGTTCACACCATTAATGATCACCCTCTGTTAAGTCTGCTACTATTCTTAACAAAGAATTTTTTTCCATAATTAGGAGTCATATATATACTTGATTCAAATACAGATATGCTTATGACGGGGGAATCAGTGAGAATTCTGTTGGTGTGTATGACAATGTAGCCTAAAGTATTGTACAGAATACCATTCAGGGCAGCTTCTTCATGCAAAAAAATGTCCACACTATGCTGTCAGAGTCTCCCACTTGACATCATTACATTCACTTGCACGGGTGTGGGGATGACTGTGTCACAGCAAATCACTGGAGTGTGGCAGGTACCTTAGGAAAATGTTGTGGAGCATTAGAGACACACTGAGTCTGCTAATGAATTGACTCTGACTTGGCATTGCCAGGATGTGGCCATATTTTACAACATTAATGGGAACATTGTAAGTAACAGGCTATCTATTGGCCACATACACAAATTGCATATAGATAAGAAAAAACATTACTAGAACTGAAACAAGTGTTATCTTAAAGATTCTGAAACATCTTCATTGGGTACAGGTCCGTGTCTGCCATAATTAAAAATGGCAGTGCTTACTCTTCATAGCTCCTTTGGGGTCAGAGTATATGAAGGAACACCTTCCTTCACAGGAGGGTGGATTTCTGCTGAGAGAATCATCTCAGACCTTCCCCTGGGTGCATCTGCTATCAAGATACGAGGGCATAAAGAATGGCAACTGGAAAGAGGATTTTTTTTTCCTGTAGTAGCTTCCATTTATGGTGTTCTCTCCAGAATTGTTCACCTATCACCTACTTTTCAGCCTTTATTTTTTTCAGAGGCTTTTAGTTAGTAAATTGTGTGGATTTTATTAGTGTGCATTTCATTCACAGTTATATGCTAATGTTGTTAATAATTTATTGTATTGGTTTCAATAATCTTGTTTCAGCTGCACTGAGAATATTTATATTTTAAGCTGATTTTAAAATGTTGAACAAATAAGATGAAAATACTAAGGCTGATGCTATGAGGTCTCCATCTTACACAGTGTAAGATGGTGAAAAGTTTTATCACTCAAATTGTATCATCGTTATCTGTTCCCCATTCTGCCCCCTCGGGCTGTTTTTCAGACTGATCCATCTTTTTATGCTATGTACGTGTACATGCAAGTAATTATATAATCATGTAACCATGTACAATTTACAAAATAATCATGCTGCGTGACATGAGCATCTCTGACACATGGAATGTATACATTTTATCTCCTCTACGAGTAATAAACTATAGATTAATCAAAGCTTATCTGCCTTGTAATCCAAACCATGCCTTCAGAGCCACAAGAAGAATCTAAGACAATTTTGTTCCCTTGGTTAGCATATATTAAGAAATGCCGTAGGCAAAATGGTTTGGATAATTTGATGGAATATGATCCTATCCCTCTGAAGTCACATCATGCTGAAATTTCTCAGTGGTTTAAAGACTTGGCAATGCAAACCAGTAGAAGGAAGACTGAAGTGCGTGTGCTATTTGGGGCAGAGTTATATTTGTCAAAAACAAACTAAGCACATTAAAAAGGAGGCTGCCATAGATACTTAGCTGGAAGCCCTATTGAATTCAGTTAGGATTACTTCTGAGTAGACATGTAATGGACTGCACTGTAAACTATGTCAAATTAACTATAATGATCATATAGTTATACTGTATATCTGTATCAATATTTATATCTATATCTGTATCTATATATCTAGATAGATATGCACATATTGTGTACTTTATTTAGATAGAACAAGAATTTTAGAATATTGTGATCACTGTTAAGGATATGTTGAATATATGCCAATGTTAGACTAACTGAACCGCCTGATAACAGTTCAAAAACACATGATTACCAAAGAAAAATATAAATGCTGACAAAGCACTTCTTTGCCAGACTTGTTACTAAAGTATTTTTTCTGCAGAAACACATGGAACAAGAATAAATGGTGTTTTAAATTGTTTAAACTTGCACTGTATCATCAGTGCTTGTTTATATTTTTCTACTAGAAATATATGTAGATTGCTTTACTTTGGGGCAAAATTGCAGTTAAGTAAGACCTAGTTCAGTTTGTGACTGATTATAAGTGGGAGATGATCTGTTAAAATTCATGGTATGCTCCACCATCAGTCTTTGTGGCAAAGGAAAATCTGCTTTTCCCAGGGGAAGTGGGAAAAGTGATATGCCTTCAAAGAAACATTTTTAAGTCCATTTATCTCTATAGTTTTTGTGGCAAAGAGGTTTTTCCTCCATTCCTCAAATTGCTGCTGAAAGGATCTTTACTACCATTTGGTAGTACAGTGGTGGGAAGACATGGACTGTAGGGACATTTCCTCAGAGGGCACATACCCTCCTCTGCTGAGTCCAAATTCATCAAATCTATAGGATCCTTTGGGAAAAGAGCTGTTCTTTTTTCCCCCAAGAAACCAGGAAGCGGTGAGAGCCACGGCTGTTTTTGTTGACAGAAGAGAAAGTGAGCAGCTTCATCTTCCAGCACAATCCTGCTGCCCCCAAAAAATCTGACTTGTCCATACTACTAGGATATTTTGCCAGAAGCTGGAGGGTATTCTGACCTATACTTGTTTCCCTTTAAAACAAAGGAACTTTTATTAAGCAGTTGTTCTTTTTAGCCATCTAGGCATCCTGCATTTATGCAGCATTTTATCTTTCCCAAGGTTAGCTGTTATGAAGTTTAAAGTTTGTGTTCCCTTACTTCTCGTAGCCACATTTTTACTGAATGTAATGTTCATCTCACTTGCGTTCTCCTTCTGTGATGTATGCAAAGGCATCAAGATCAATCATCAAACCAACTCCCAGTTATTACTAGGGAAGCTAAGCAACTGCCCCTTCCCTCCTCTTTAGCAATTTACTATGTTAAAAAAATCCAAAGAAAAGGTAGACTTAATAGCGGAAATATCTCCTTTCAGAACTTGGCTCGCCTGACAAACATTAATGGTTTACCTCCCTTATTTCCTATAAGGGAGATGTACCCTTTCTTCTGTGACGGAATTCAAGGCACTATGCCCAACTTCTTCATTTGGCTTTCTATCAAGTGGACCCAATGTTCTTGGCAGCAGCAAGGCAGACGTATCACATGCTCTCAAGAGAATGCTGGATTCATAATCCTCATGCCCCATAAAGTTTTATTTGGTTATGAATGTAAGCCCTTTCTTTAGCTTAGGACCTCTCGGTAAAGCAGACACTTAATACTGTTGCTTCTGCAGACTATTGATCTGAAATAAACACAAACTCAGAATACTAGAATCTCAGACATAATCCATTTCCTGACCATCTTCCTAGTGTTGAAGCCATCCAATAAGCTTCTTTTAGCTACTCCATTAATTTTTTCCTGCAGTCACAGCATATGCTAAATTCTATTCACAGATTAAGGACCAAAATGTCAATGTAAGGAATACTGATAGAGAAGCAAAGTACAAATCAGATTCCAGTCTCTTCAGCAGGATCAGCTCCTGACATTTTCTCATATATCATCTGCATCTAAGGCACTCTGATTATCTACTTGCCTTCCACACTCTCCTTGGTTACCAAATAGAGAAATAAAAACATAGTTCTTACAATGCAGTTTATTTACATATCCATCAAGAAGGGGGAAAAAACATATACATCAGAGAATATTACAGTGTGTTGGTAATGGTTCGACTACGAAGCCCCTGAACATATTCCTTAGCTTGATCAAACCCAGTCTTTGGCGGTACTGGTGGTGGCGGTGGTCCCTCTACCAATTTCACAAAATAATGGCACTTTACTAAATCCATAATGCCAGAACAGCCTCTGCCATGAAAACGGATGCTTTTGGTATAGTGGCCTTTTCCAGAGAAGGACTCCGCTAGAAGAAGAAAAAATAACATTAATATTAAAGTTTAAAAAAAAAACAAAAACCACCTGGTCCTTAAAGCAGTTTCTTGAACATTCAGATTACTCAACAAATTGCACTATTTTTTTTTCCATACGTCTCACCTAAAATTACAAAAAGCGGCTCATCAAGCCATTGATGAAGAGAACGATGAAAAAAGTATATCAGAAAGTGATGGTGTAAGGACAATAAATGAATAAATATAAAACGGGTAATAGCTACAATACTCCATACTAGCTGAACAGAGCAAGCTCTGTCATGTTGCTTCACCTTGCCCATCCTCTCCACACACCACTACTATATTAAGAATACTGGAACAGGAAGATGGCTTATATCGATTCATATAACGAGTTCATCTAGCTCTAAAGTACTGTGATAAGCAGTGTCTTTCCTGGGTTTAAGACAGGGAATCCTTCCAGCCCTAGCGGGAGATGCCAGAGACTGAAACCTGGACCTTTTGTCTTCAAAGCACGTGTTCTATCACTGAGGCTTTATTTAAACCCAAACTTTGGTTTATCCCTGTCGTTGCCTTACTTTAGGGCATCTAATAACCTGCTCCTGCCCAGACGCCAAATGGAGCTCGCCTTTTGAGAGAAGCAGTCACATATTAGGGCCATTGAGGGACTGGGCTTTTGGAACGCCTGAAAAGAGTCCACTGTCCTTAATGGTCTTTAAATCTGGGGTATGTTCATGGCTGTTGCATTCTTTATTCCTTTTTAAGAGTTTTTGTGCTAGGCTAGAAAAGATGTTTTAAATTATAGTTTTCTCTTAGTCATAGCCACCTTAAGCTCTCCAAAAGAAAAAGATATAAATGTTTTAAATAATTTGGTACAGCGTGAACAGAAGAACCTTTTCCAGTGCCTGGAAAACAGACCCATATAATTTGGCAGCAAAAGAACATTACTACTATTGTCCATTGGTGTTGCATTAATATTTCACCTATATCAGGGTGGGGAACATGTGGTCTCTCGATACTCTGGACTACAAGTTCCATCAGCCCTACCAAACACTGCCAAGGGTATGGGATAATGGCAGTTGTACTTGGTGGGCCACACATTTCTCTTCCCTAATACCTTTTAATACTTTAATAGTGTAAAACCCCCATTTTATTCCTCTTTTCAAAGCTTTTCCCAAGAAAACCACAATTCACCAAGCTGGTCACTCGTTCTCCTTCAGACTGCCCAATAAAGGTACTATGAATCACCATGAAGTGACATTTTATTTCCCCCTTTGGTAAAAGCTTTTTCTACACAGCTTTTTGTCATCATAAGTTTAAAAGAGGAATGAGCTTCCCATGGCAGCAGCTATATAGTGGAAAGTTAAAAGGATCAATTTGATATGGAGGTCAGAAGGCGGTACCTAAATGTCAGATCTAAATGCACTTAATTTAGAACCTTTTTGCCTCAATTAAAGGTTGACAGATGACAATTTGCCTGAAAGTGAAGTCTAAACTGCTGGTTCACCTGAGTAGTAATACTCGCCTGCCACTGCAAAATGAGCTACAAATTATTGCAATGGATTGATAATGAAAAATTGGTTTATTATTTTTAAGGCTTAAACAGAATAATACATTTTTCATATATATGGCTACTGGGGGTAAGGAGAGAGTGTTATACTCTCTACAACACAAAAATTCAGTTATTTTTATCCCATGTTTTATGCAGCTATAAGTAAAAACTAAGTTATACTTCAGATGACAGGCTGTTGAAATTTCAGCCCTCTGTAATAGTGCTAGAAAACTGAAGATCAGGATACCAAACTCTTAAAAACAGCACCAGGTAACTACTGCTCATCAATGCTGAAGTAATGGAACATACTTAATCCTATGAATCTGGACTTTGTAAAATAAACACCTACCATAGTGATCTCTCTTTGAAATTAGCTGTGTTCTGGATCATGTGTGCGATCTCATTTATGTATTACTGGAAAACACTGGAAGGAATCCTACAGAATAGAAAGCTAGAATAGACTAATATGCCATTGGTATGAAAAAAGTGGCAAGGTGTACCCCTTGGTGGCACAGTCAAGATACAATCAGGCACATGATTAAGATTGCCTAGGCACCTCATCAATTAGCTATAATTAGCCATGAGTAGTTACATTAATCTTATGTGAACACTAGCAAGACTTTGGCCAATATAATTTACATGTGGAACTGAAACATAACCTTTGCCCTGTAAAAATATACAGGAAAACAAAGGTATACACTGAATCTGGCTGATATCTCAATATTTTCTGTATCAAAAGGAAGACTTAATCATTTTTTAAAATATGTTTCCATAACAGCCTAGCAAAACACTATTCATAACAAATCAATATACTGACACAAACATTTTAAGGTCTTGTTTTTTTCTTTTTTGGAAGGGGACTAGTAGATTAGAACACTGTTGTAAATCCATCATCATCATGTGTGGTCAAGTCAATTCAGACTTATGATGACCCTTTTCAGGGTCGTCCAAGTAGAGAAATGGTTTACGACTCCCTTCTTCTGGAGGAAACCTTGGAACGGTTTGGCCTGCTCATCATTCCCCATCCTACATTGTTCAGAAAGGTTTCTGACCCTTTAATGAGGTTTGCTGGTGTGGGGTGCATAGGGGGGGAAGAGAAGCAAAAGCTTTCCAGAAACCTTAGAATCCAAGTATTTAATCTGCACAAAGCATAACTTTCAACCACAATCAAACTACAATTGGTGCAAATCATAATTTGCCAGGTCTGGAAAAGTAAAGATTTGCTACAAACTGAGATTATTTGGTTTGGTGCTATTTGTGAATAACTCATTCTTTCAATTTTAATCCAGGACAAAGACACGGAAAATGCTTAGCATACTAATTTTAGCACTATGAATTAAATGCATTAAATAATCCTTTCTTGGAATAGCCACGCGGAAAAAAAGTAAACATAGAAACTGCCTGGTATTGTACCCTTTCATTATGTTAATAATCAATTTCATAAAATAATTCACTGGTAGAAATAAAAATATCCTGTGGAAAAACAAAGCAAGATATATTTTCCATTATAGAAATGTTCTGTTGTACATTTCTGATTAATGTACAGAACAATGATACTAACTACAGTGCTTGCAGTCTTGTTAAAATGGTGCACATCAGTTAAAAATCTAAAGTGGTCCACGTTATTAGTATTCAAGGCCACAATAAACTTTTCTACAATAGTAAATGAGCCATTTACCAATGTGTAGGTTGGATTTGAATTCTACATTATGTTGCCTTACAGCCAGTTCCTGGGCTTCAAGAAGGACCTAATGCAAGAAAAGGAAAGAAAGATAATCTCAGTCAAGAATTATTAAATTAAAACCAAGACCATTTTTTTATCCCAGAGTTTTATAGCAGATCCTTATATTAACATAAGGTAATCAAACAATTCATTAACTTCATTTAACATACATGTGTATTCAAAGCATATTTTTCTCCTTCAGAACACATGCTCATGCATGTTCATGAAAAGGCCATTCCCATTTGCTTACTGAGGCTTACTCTCAGATAGGTATACACACAATTTCTGTTTCTGTCAAGCCTCCGAAAGTGGAAAACATACTAAACAACAGAAAGTCAAAATGTATCACTACTACAAATATATCACCATTATTTATCAGAGTGCATAAATATCAATGATTTTTCCAAATCAAATTGATATAAGTCATGATATTTAAATTTAATAATGATTGCGACGTTTGCCACATGGCCCCTGCTTGTTTCACCAAATAATGAGCTCACGTTACATATCCCACCACGTCCTTTATCATGCTGTTGAATGGGGATTCAGGCCTAGTCTGTCATGCTAAGCACTATACTGCTCTAGGTATGTGATGATGATGGTTAGTAATATTTAAATTCTTATTTAAATTCCATATTCAATTTTACACATACCTCTTTAATTATTTTTGCTCCCTTTTTATCATTGAACTCTAATTGAGCTAATGCCTGATCAATGGTCATTCCTCGGATCTAAAACAAAAAACACAGAGGTGAGAAGAAATATAATTTGTATACTGAAAATAAACTTTCCATAGAGAACGCATTTCACTGTAAAAAAATCACACAGCATTGCTTATTTACTCAACAAATCTTTACTCAATTTATAAAATTTTATGCAACTGTATGTTATCAAAGAGTACTGCAAAACATTAGCAAAGACCACTACTGATTCTGAGATCAAATTCCTAATCTCAAGTCATATTCCAATCACTAACGGGAAAAGAGGCTCCTACCAAATGTAGCTGTGAATTTATTGCATAGAATTAGGTCTTCTTCTCAAGATAAAGCTACAACACCAAGGGTATATGTTACGGGTCCCTCAACCAGATGTCTGGCACATGACTAGTCTCCAAAAAGTGCTTTGTCTCATAGCATGACCTGCCACCACGAATATCTAATACAGATAACTGGTTTCAAATGGCTTACATGGGGCAGCCGTACCAAGGAATGGCTCATATGCCTAGAAAAATGACACCTATGATTTTATTTTCTTTTTAACTGAAAATAATTTTAACCCAACTTGGTCCTTAAAAAGGACTCTAGGCGGCTTACAGCAATTAAAGGACAGTATTTAAGATCAGTAACAAGTATACACCCTTTCATGGATTGCTGCCTTGTCGGGGTGAAAGGGCTTGAGTAATTCAGAGAAGCTATGGGCTATGCCGTGCAGGGACACCCAAGATGGACAGGTCATAGTGGAGAGTTCTGACTAAATGCGATCCACCTGGAGCAGGAACTGGCAAGCCTCTGCAGTATCTTTGCCAAGAAAACTCCATGGATGAAAACAAAAGGCTAAAAGACATGATGCTGGAAGATAAGCCACTTAGCTCAGAAGGCATCCAACATGGTACTGAGGAAGAGTAGAGGACAAGTACAAGTAGCTCTAGCGCTAATGAAGTGATTCGGCCAAAGCTGAAAAGATGCTCAGCTGCGGACGTCCCCGGAAGTGAAAGGAAAGTCCAATGCTGCAAAGAAAAATACTGCATAGGAACCTGGAATGTAAGATCTATGAACCTTGGGAAGCTGGATGTGGTCAAACAGGAGGTGGCAAGAATAAATACTGACATCCGGGACATCAGTGAACTAAAAGGGATGGGAATGGGCGAATTCAACTCAGATGATTATCGTATCTACTATTGTGGGCAAGAATCCCATAGGAGAAAGGGAGTGGCCCTCACAGTCAACAAAAGAGTGGGAAAAGCTGTACTGGGATACATCCTCAAAAATGATAGAATTATTTCAGTAAGAATCCACAGCAGACCTTTCAAAATCACAATAATCCAAGTTTATGCACCAACCACCAATGCTGAAGAGGCTGAAATTGACCAATTCTATGAAGACTTACAACACCTTCCAGAACTGACACCAAAAAAAGATGTTCTTGTCATTATAGGGGACTGGAATGCTGAAGTAGGGAGTCATGAGATAAAAGGAACAACAGCCTTGGAGTTCAAAACGAAGCAGGGCAAAGGCTAATAGAGTTTTGTCAAGAGAACAAGGTGATCATTACAAACACTCTTTTCCAACAACACAAGAGGCGACTCTACACATGGAAATCACCAGATGGGCAATATCGAAATCAGATTGATTATATTCTCTGCAGCCAAAGATGGAGAAGCTCTATACAGTCAGCAAAAACAAGACCTGGAGCTGACTGTGGTTCTGATCATCAGCTTCTCATAGCAAAATTCAAGCTTA